CGAGTAGTCTGTCGTTACGAAAGAGTAGCGAAATTCAGTAAAGCGCGTTCCCATTTATGACTCAGGTAGCAGATCTCACATATGAATTGGATGCCTATGATCGTATCCACAAGGCAGAAATACACTGCGATGGCGACCTGAAACGCGAGTTGATTGGTGAGTAGACACCCGATTCTGTGGAGCCGGTGAGTAAAGCCAGGAATGTCAGCCACGTCCACATGATCGTGCAGCATATATAGCGCTCACAGATTCGTGATATCGCCTCCCATCCATTGCAGCAAGAATGTGGGGCTGAGCCCATCTACCGAAGACCTGGCGTAGTTTTCGTAGATCTGGCTGCAGTCGGCAAGGGCAAGTGTCAGACTCAATGCGGCTGGCTGTTCGAGCTCGGATAACGAAGCGACGTTCGCATACTTACGGACTTTGCGCAAAGAGCCACACGAAGAAGCTGGCTTTCCCAGCCGCGTCACTGACAGCTTGCCGGTCCCACGCATTCCACCATCGATGAGCATAGCACAGCACGGCGTGCAAACCTTCGACGAAAATGCCAGCGTGGCTTACGCTCGGTGCCGATTCACCTCGCCAGCTCATCAATGCCACTCGTATCCTGTATGGACGCCTCAGGGTCTCGACTAGGGCTGATGTATGCTCGCGAGGTATCCGTCAGGCGAGAGGCGCGCGTATCAGGGCTGCTCGTGATGTCGCCAGGCGAGACCGGATAGCATCATCGGAGCACGTCTTGACGCAAGGTCGAGCATGTGGAATGGACAAGCTTTGCCTGCCTCGTCCCAGCAGCGTGGTGGGGTGCAGGGCTTTGGGCATGTGAGAATCATAATCACTGAATCATGAGTGAGGGCGCCTCTCACGCCGCAGGAAACCCCGCCGTTCTGCGACACAAGGCAGGAGCGCGCCGTGTGCTGGACGGTACGGCGCGCGCGACACGGCACGGTCACGCGACCGACTGCGAGCCGATCCGGCTCATCTCCCTCACGTGGTGCCCTTTCCGCGGCACGTGCTGGTACACCCGTCGCCGAGGCGCGCTCTCGTCACCCACGGTAGTCGCGATATTCAAGATTACGGTAGAGTTGAGAGACACGTAGAAGAGAGTCCAGCGGCGTGCTGCACCGTTGGTAACTGCTGACGAGCGAGTCATACAATCAAGGATAACGGAGTGGGTTTGGAATGCAATTTGAGCTCATAGCATGTGGTTTCAGCAGCGAAGAGAGTGTTGTGGTGATGGAAAGAGGTGTAGAATCTGTAAAATCCCGAAGTGCGCCAACAATGATCAGGGTTATCGCGATATCAAACCCACACTACAGTTCAGGCTGCGTTCCGAAGCTGCATGTCTACGGTTGAAATTAGTCATGCATCACCTCAGAGTATTTATGATCAAGCTGTACTGCCTTCAACATTCGCCATCTTCCCAGATCAAGTTCACAAATGAGGGTGAGTGACCGTCTGCGACCGTGAGGGTCACAGTCACGTGACAGAACCATCATCTCCCCTTTGATGATTCAAGATTCTTCGATCGACCTTGAAGATATTCACGATCTGAAGTTCAAAATTGCCCGCCTAC